CCTCCTGCACCTCAAAATAATAAGACCTCCCCAAAAATAAGGCCAAGTGCTTATTTTGGGGGTCAAAAGAAAATAACACCTTGTCTTATTTTCAGAGAAATACGGTATGTGTAATTAGTCTCCTTTCCCATCCAATTCTTCTTTACAGAGACTTATTTGTTCCCCCAATCAGTCGTCTTTCCTTTATTAAAGGCTGATAGAGGAGCAAGTATAACTTTGGTCCCAATTCTGGGATAACTCCAGTTTGCAAACTTGAAATAAACATTTATTAAAAAATGAAATTCATGGACCAAAAAACGGCATTCATATTCTACATCAGCTTATTTTTAATATCCTTTAAAAATATTGGCAGCACTGCAGGAAGAATTTGTGTCTAATATTGGTGAATGGTAATCTGTGCAACTAAAACTTCTATACATTTTGGACCAGGCACAAATAAGGGGGAATAAAGCCCATACATGGAATGATAGAAAGGCATAAAAAATATAAACACTGGTTCAAGTCAAATGTGACACCTGGTAACCACAAACACATAGTTTTTCTCAGCAAAAATATTGAAATGGCGTGCCACTGCTTTCTTACAGGATTATTTTCTAACTTCCAGTCTAGCCTAAAGCGCCTCCTTTTGGTGGGAAGGGGGAGATCACCTACCATTGGCCAGGAACTTGGGGTAGTAATGACAGCCTAGATCAGAGGTCTTCAAACTTGGCAACTTTAAGAGTTGTGGACTTCAACTCCCAGAATTCTCTGCTGGCTGGAGAATTCTGGGAGTTGAAGTCCACAACTATTAAAGTTGCCAAGTTTGGGGACCCCTGGCCTAGATGCATCCTTGGAAAAACCTAAAAAAAATAACTATAAAGACAGCCTTGTGCTATTCTGAAAGCAGGTAGTATTGTCACAAGCCCATAGCGGGCTCCATATTTTTTTTTTACAGAGGCTCTAATTTTGGAGAGTGTTTGTGGAGCTTACTTTAAAATGGAGCCCCCCCCCTCCCCTTACAGGCCCACAACAATAGTGCCTGCTTGCAGAATACAATAGCCCAAGGTTGTCTTGGGACAGCCTCTGTAGGAAAACTGATCCTTGCATCACCTCAGCTGGGAGCCTTTGCAATAAAAAAAAAGATAACTTGGGTGCTGCTGGGCCTTGGAGGTGGCTGAGGAACAGGCAGAGTCCAAATTCCTTGGGTGGCTGAGTGAAAAGAAAGCCTCGGCCTATAAGGCCTCAGAGCCCCTGCATGCCAGTAGCCATCTTATGCCCCTTTGGGTGAGAAGCAAAGGCCTGCCGGGACCCCAAGAATCAGAACATGGGATGCCTTGGGGTAGTGGCGGCTTGGGAAGCCTAGGCAGGTAGGCCTGGACCTGTCCTGGGTCTCCCCCTCCCTCCGAGGTACCCCGTGCTCTGCTTAACAACTCATGCATTCATTTAATGGCCTCATTAAGGCAAGCAGATAGTGGAAGTTATTAAGCAAGGCCATATCATTTATGAGCTGTCACTACTTGCAACTGTAATGGGTAGGTCTTAAATTGAATGCTACCTGTATTGTATTTGCTATTTCAGTTGTTTTTACGGATACTATAGTTTTCAAATATTCTTTCAATCAAAGAATGCTCTATCAGATGTAATTAATCCAATGAAGATTTACCCAGAATGTGTGGTCTTTAGAAGCACAGCGTCTATATTCTAGTTTGCTGAAAGTCATCTGCTGAATACAAAAAGAAGCAAAGGTGAACACTGGGATTGGTATTCCATCTAGGCCATCTTCCATGGATGGTGGTTTACGATCCCCAAAAATGCTCACAAGATGGTTCTGTTCTGTTGATTTTCAAGTGATGATTTGCAATTTGTGCAAATTTAATCCAGAGTCTTCTTCAATTGCAAGATGGTATTATTGGAAAAAGCTCATGATCCATTCTCCAATGCCAATGAAATAGACCCCTTGGGCGATGCCAAAGAGGGGAGCGATCACCAGGGCACGACATCCTGCTCCTTTCATAAAAGCGGAAGGACCCTCATGAATCCAGATCTTCCTGCACAGAATTCACACAATGAGATCATTTCAGAAAAGATACCCTGAGTAGCAGCTGTTGCTCTTAGCAACAGAAGTGCATCAAACATCAGTGCTTTTCATACTTATTTAGAAGAGGGATTCTGGAACCCACAGCAGCACACATGCAACACTTCTCTTTAAAGCAACTGTATCTCTTTTTCAGACTTCCAAGTGAATCTGAAAAAAGATGCATCTTTTAAAATGAGTTGACTCATTAAATCAGCCCAGTCTTTTTAAAGGGTCCCACAGAAGTCTGAAAAGGGCAGTAACTACGTTGAAAGGATATCATTGCTTTTGCTCCTATGCATTCCAAAAGTGCCCCAGCATTTTTTGCAGAAAGGCAGAGACTAATTTTGGTGAATCTCTATCCAGTTTTGCTTTTTGCAGGAAACTCATACAGGCAACAGTTGGGATTGGGGGCATGGAAGATGCAACATCTGTTGTTTAAGGAATGGCATGAAGACTTTTAAGTGTAGCAGAGAACTATCTTTGGAAACATGCCCTCCACCTCCCATCTCCACCCCAAAGTAAATGCAAACTCAAGAACATTCTGTATGAATTGTACGGTTAGAAAAAAGATACATCTTTATCAGTTAATTTTCTGTCAAATGATATTGAGTGATTGCTCACACTCACTAGCAACCATTTTGTGAACCAACAAACTGTCCACAGCTTACTTGCTAAATTCCCAATGTATCCACCAGTCTAGACTAGTTGGGGTTTCCAGCATTGATGTATGAGGAATATTTTCCGGAGATCCGAGTGTTTAATGCTTAAAAGAAATCATATTTAATTCTGTTTACCTGGCACAGTCAATGATTCCATTGTAGGTATCTTCTCCCAGTCCTTTCTGCAGAGTTTGAATGCGAGTTTTTAGAACTGTAACAAGATAGTTTGTTAAATCTTTGCGAAGAAATTTTGATGTAAAGATTTACACATCTTTACAGATACTGCAGAGGAATATCTTCAAGACCCAGATTCTATATTTGCTGATCTCTTTCTGGACAAGAAGCTGCCCAATTAAATAAACCTGCAAAAATGCTCATCTCTGATTAGTGTTTTACTACAGTCGTCAGTATGTGGTGCTTTCTTTCCCGAACTTTTTTAGTTTTAAATATTCTAGGTAAAGGTAAAGGATCCCTTGCACATATGTGCTAGTCATTCCTGACTCAAGGGGGCAGTGCTCATCTCCGTTTCAAAGCCAAAAGAGCCAGCGCTATCCGAAGACGTCTCCATGGTCATGTGGCTGGCATGACTAAATGCCAAAGGCGCATGGAACACTATTGCCTTCCCACCAAAGGTGGTTCCTATTTTTCTACTTGCATTTTTACGTGCTTTCAAACTGCTAGGTTGGCAAAAGCTAGGACAAGTAACAGGAACTCACTCCGTTACGCGGCGCTAGGGATTCGAACCGCTGATCTCCTGACCTTTCTGAGCAACAAGCTCAGTGTCTCAGCCATTGAGCCATCATGTCCCTTAGATATACTAGTTGCTAATAATTTGTGATAGGATGAAGATAAGTCTTTTTTT